AAGGTTCTGAGTCGTGGATGATCCTTTAACCTTTAATATAATGATGTAGGAATGGTAACTGACCTCTCGTGTGTGTGTGTGTGTGTGTGTGTGTGTGTGTGTGTGTGTGTGTGTTTGTGATGCTCTCCAAGTGACCCTTCTTCCAGATCCTTGACCCCGTAAACGTGACCTTAGTGACCTGGCCTCTCCCTGTGCTGGAAGAGGCGGCTGGAACTCGTGAGGTGGTCATAATGGAGACCTCGCGACCTCACAGCGTCGTAATCTCCAGGCAAGGTGGAGATCCAGGGCTTACTGCGGTGGAGGCCGGGTCACTAAGGATCTGGGAGGGATGGAGGGAGGGAGGGAGGGGGGATTTCTGATGAGGGTGAGGGAAAAAGTGAGGTAGATGAAAAAGAGGGAGGAAAAGTTAAATGGGAAGGAGGGAGGGAGGGAGGGAAGGTAAATGAGAAGGTAGGAAGGAAAGGTAGATGAGAAGAAAGGAAGAGGGAAAGAAAGGTAAATGAGAAGGTTGGAAGGAGAAGGAAAGGTAGATGGGAAGAAAGGAAGAGGGAAAGAAAGATAGATGAGAAGAAAGGAGGGAGGGAAAAAATGAACGACAATCAGAATAAGTATCTACTGTATATGGTGAGACAGATGAGATGATTAAGTTTATTCATCTATATTAATATTATCTAAAACCCTTATTCTCAAAATGTCTTACGTCAACTTTTAATTTTATTTTATCGTAACAAGGAAATAATAATAATAATAATAATAATAATAATAATAATAATAATAATAATAATAATAATAATAATAATAAACTCCTCATTTTGGTATAATCTCACTCGAGCGTCAACACCATATTGGCTGCCATCTTTATAAAAAAAATAATAAAATATATGTAATAAATATCAATAAGATTTGAGATGGTAGAAGAAAATTGTATCCACACCTTCTAAGAGTAAAATTCTCTCTTCCGTCAAACTAACACTAAGTTCTTTTTTTTTTTTCTTCTTCTTCCACCTCTTTTCAGCTTCTTCTCTTCCACCCTTAGACACCGCCAGACACACACACACACACACACTCTGGGGACCTGGACTGACCCTTAAAAGTCACCCCGGAGAGTCCTTGCCCTCACTACTGTTTATGGCTGTGCTTAGGGTCAGGGTGTAATTTCTCTGGGACTCAGGGGCCAGTGGTGGTTGTTTGTGTGGGGGTTGGTAGGTGGTGGTTGTTTGTGAGGGGTTGGTAGTTATCATGAACCTGAGGAGGAACAAGCAAAGTTTAACCTGAATTTACTTCCAGACAAACTAACATGACTGAAAAATTTAATTAAAAAAAAAAAACTTAATTTTTTTCTTTAAAATTACCATCAAACGTTAGAACAAATCCAAATTAATTTCACATTAAAGAAACTCCAACATTCATTTTTATCTTGCAAATACCAATTGGGTGTTTGAGTTGCAATTTCTTTTAATGAAGGAGTTGAAAGTTTGGGTCATTGAGATATGTCTGACACGATGGCGCTAATGGCACAGGTTTTCAGGGAGTCACCAAAGTGGAAATTTTTCTCTCTTAACTGTAAATCTTCCTTCTCATGGCTGGGAATGTGACGCTCCAGCAGTTCCTATGAGATGAGACACTGGGGGTGGGGGGGGGGCGTTGTTCAGGGGAGAGCAAGAGGTGGTGTGGGGGGGGGCGAGGAGGCGGCGAGGAAGTGTTGGTGTAAGGCGAGGAGGAAGAGATATGTATGAATAAGTGAGAGAATGTATGAGCCTGTGGGCGAGTGTGTGTGTGTGAGACAGTGAAGGAGTGAGTCAGTGAATCAGTGAGATAATGAAGCAGTGGGACAGTGAAGTAGCGAGACGGGGAATAAGTGAGTCAGTGAAGCAGTGAGTCAGTGAAGCAGAGAGCGAGATAGGGAGGCGAGTCAGTGAAACAATGAGACAGTGAACCAGTGAGACAGTGAAGTAATGAGACAGTAAAGCAATGACTCAGTGAAATAGCGAGACAGTGAATCAGTGAGACAATGAAACGACGGGACAGTGTAAGAGTGTTTCATTAAGGCAGTGAAGCATTAAATCAAAGGAGAGAGAGAGAGAGAGAGAGAGAGAGAGAGAGAGAGAGAGAGAGAGAGAAGGACGTAAAATATATAGGCAAAGCAGATAAATATAATGAGCGTAGTGAAGGGAGGAAGTGAGGGCGTATGATAGTGATTGATGAATATGAGAGGGAGGGAGAGAAGGAAGGAGAGACGGAAGGAGGGAAGAAGGAAACACAAAGAGAGAGAGAGAGAGAGAGAGAGAGAGAGGAGAGAGACACAATGAGAGAAAAGAACGAGAGAGGATAAATGGAAAGAAACAAGGAAGGAGGAAGGAAGTAAGGAAGGAGGAAGGAAGGAAGGGGAAGGAAGGAAGGAAGGGAAGGAAGGAAGGAAGGAAGAAGAGAAGGCGAGAACTCACCCCAGGGCAGCATATCACCCTGTCAAACACACACACACTAACTCTCCTCTACGTTGTTATGTCTCCCTGCACACCTAGAAACTCCTCACCACTATTCTCCCTCTTCTCCCTCTTCTCCCTCTCTCCCTCTCTCCCTTGTCTCCCTCTTCTCTGGAATGTGACTCGTGTCCCCGCTCTGTCACACTCCCTCAATTGACTCGTGTCCCCCCCCCTCCTATCCTCCCTCCTGATCTGTCTCCCTCCATTGACTCGTGTCCCCTCTGTCACACTCCCTCCATTGACTCGTGTCCCCCTCTGTCACACTCCCTCCATTGACTCGTGTCCCCCTCTGTCACCTCCCTCCATTGACTCGTGTCCCCTCCCCTCTGTCACACTCCCTCCATTGACTCGTGTCCCCCCCTCTGTCACCTCCTCCATTGACTCGTGTCCCCCCCCTCTGACTCTCCATTGACTCGTGTCCCCCCCTCTGTCACACTCCCTCCATTGACTCGTGTCCCCCTCTGTCACCTCCCTCCATTGACTCTGTGTCCCCCCTCTGTCACACTCCTCCATTGACTCGTGTCCCCTCTGTCACCTCCCTCCATTGACTCGTGTCCTCCCTCTGTCACCTCCTCCATTGACTCGTGTCCCCCCCTCTGTCACCTCTCCCCTCGTGTCCCCTCTGTCACCTCCCTCCATTGACTCGTGTCCCCCTCTGTCACCTCCCTCCATTGACTCGTGTCCCCCCCTCTGTCACACTCCTCCAGTGACTCTGTCCCCCCTCTGTCCTCCCTCCATTGACTCCTCTGTCACACTCCCTCCACCCCCTCTGTCACCTCCCTCCATTTGTGTCTGTCACCTCCTCCATTGACTGTGTCCCCCTCTGTCACACTCTCCATTGACTCGTGTCCCCCCTCTGTCACCTCCTCCATTGAGTGACTCCATTGACTCATGTCCCCCTCTGTCACCCCTCCATTGACTCTGTCCCTCCATTGACTCGTGTCCCCCCCCTCTGTCACTCCCTCCATTGACTCTGTCCCCCTCCTGTCCACCTCCCTCCATTGACTCGTGTCCCCCCCCTCTGTCACACTCCCTCCATTGACTCGTGTCCCCCCTCTGTCACCTCCCTCCATTGACTCGTGTCCCCCCTCTGTCACACTCCCTCCATTGACTCGTGTCCCCCCTCTGTCACACTCCCTCCATTGACTCGTGTCCCCCCCCTGTCACCTCCTCCATTGACTCCCCCCCTGTCCCTCCCCCCTCTGTCACCTCCCTCCATTGACTCGTGTCCCCCCTCTGTCACACTCCCTCCATTGACTCGTGTCCCCCTCTGTCACCTCCTCCATTGACTCGTGTCCCCCTCTGTCACACTCCTCCGATGTGGACTCTGTGACTCTGTGTCCCCCCTCTATCACACTCCCTCCATTGACTCGTGACTCATTGATGTCCCCTCTCCCCTCCCTCCATTGACTCGTGTCCCCCCTCTATCACACTCCCTCCATTGAGCTGTCACCTCCCTCCTGACTCACCCCTCCATTGACTCGTGTCCCCTCTATCACACTCCCTCCATTGACCCCCTCCATTGATCCCCCTCTGTCACACCCTCCATTGAGTGTCCCCCTCTGTCACACTCCCTCCATTGACGTGTCCCCTCTGTCACCTCCATTGACTCGTGTCCCCTGTCACCTCCTCCATTGACTCGTGTCCCCTCTGTCACCTCCCTCCATTGACCGTGTCCCCCTCTGTCACCTCCCTCCATTGACTCGTGTCCCCCCCTCTGTCACACTCCCTCCTTGTATAAATCTAGAGGAAGAAATACTCCCCTTTTTTCCCTCCTCTGAGACGTATTTTTGTTATCTTTCCTCCTCCACTTATGTAGGAAAAAAAACATACATTTATTTTCTTCTCTTCCGTTTTATTTTGTTTGGTTTGTAGTTCTCTATTGAACACATTATATTATTGGTTCACATTCTGTTATTGTAGAGTTATTGAACATTTTGTAGTGTATGTTTAAGAGAAATTCACTTCTTGTAGATTTATTGAACATTTTGTAGTATATGTTCAAGAGTTAAGACTTTGTTTATACACTCTGTTATCTATAGAGAGTCTGATTTATAAACAGTAAGTCTATCAGAGTATCTACTTTTTTTGTAGTTTTAGGAACTTATCTTGAAGCCTTATCCTGTAGGTTGTATGTATTTTTGTCTTGGTTTTTATTCGACAACATCCGGTGGAAGAGAGAGAGAGAGAGAGAGAGAGAGAGAGAGAGAGAGAGAGAGAGAGAGAGAGAGAGAGAGATAAGAATGAGAGAAGAAAATTGAAGATGGATAAATGGTGAAACTGAAGGATGTGTTGTAAAATATGTTCTTTTTTTATCAGTTTTTTGGGTGTCTGTATGTTTACACGCACACATACGTACACACACACACACACACACACACACACACACACACACACACACACATTACCTGTACACTTTATACACAAATACGATATCTACACCAACTGCAATTTATAACCCACCAGAACCTCCACATCAGCTGCTTCTAATTCTCCCTTCTTCTTCCACTTCCACAGATGATGACTAAATAAGAGGCAACAACACCTTGACCTCTATAGTCACTGCTACTAAGAGCGACCATGGGCAGACGACTCTCTCATGAACGTGTGATATGTGTAGTCACGTGTAAGGCATCACTATGATACACATGTGAACAATGGTGTAAAATAACATGTGAAAAAAAAATAAGAAAAAAAAATAAAAACCATAGTATTATTTTCGATGGAGTTTATACGCGTTACGGTATAGTGAAGATTAAATGAATGTCGTTTCTAGTGGATTTCAAGTGTACTGAGACGATATGACAGGAGTAACAATGTAAAAAAAAAAAGAAAGAAAAGATGGTGTATTTCCCCAACACATAGAGAAAAACAAAGTAGACTTACAGTAGATTTAGTATGAAATGTATTGCGATGTTTTATAACATTGTGAAAGAAACATAGCCGGTCCCAGGAAACTACCTATAGGAACTACCTTAATGTGTTGATAAAAAGTGAAGACGTGTAGTAGGTTGTAGAGGCTGTGGTCAGTGATATCGCTCGCTACTGTATTCTCACTCGAGATCTTTGTCCTCAAGATGGCCGTAACGTCTCCTTCCTCCCGCGTCGTGCAACTCCTCTTGGTGCTGCTGGTGGGGTCCTACTCGCTCCTCCCATCTGCTGCAGGTAAGTGTTTTAGTATTGAGTCCTCCGGTAGTGTAAGAGAGCGTGTAACATCGACTTTAAGTAATAAAGATTTTGAGACGATTTTTGAAGTGTTTACAAAATGCTCATGATGTCAAACTTTGTGTTTTCTTTCGTTATTAATGCTGTAAATGACGATATTTTTAACCTTCGTCTTTCGGTAAACATAAAGGGAAACTAAATATTCGAATAATACATAACGATCTTTTAATTAATGTATAGTTCCATTGTCTTTCTCAACGCTATATTTCTAAAGATTTTTTGAGGTTTATTAACGTCTTCAGGTTACATAAGGAACTTGTACTGTTGAAAGGTCTTAGTGTATCTATATTACAAAGTTGTGGTCTATATAATATTGTATCCGGGTACTGTATTACTGTATTAGGTTCATGGATCTGTCAGAGAGAGAGAGAGAGAGAGAGAGAGAGAGAGAGAGAGAGAGAGAGAGAGCAGACGCCAGAATAGAAAACCGCGAAAGAATCTTGAGAGAATACCGTAAAAGCGACACCAGTTACACATCACCAAGTACGTTACAACACAGTGCAGTTCCGTGTATCGCGTTCGTCGACCCCGCGCTGGCAGCTGCTGGGAACGAGGAATAAAAATATCACCAAAACACGAGAAAAAAACGAGACTTTCCGAGACAAGATCAACAAGAACATAACCTGTTAGTTTTTTTTAATGTATTTTTTGGTTTATTTTCAAGTTCATTTGTGTTGTGATCTTTTTCCTGTTGTTACGTCTCTTCATTAGATGGAATTGAATTGTTTATTAACGAGGCAGGATCCAAACCAGACAACCTGTTATCACACACACACACACACACACACACACACACACACACACACACTACAATATTCCAATCATTTTGCCTTTCAATCAAATTCTGTACTACTCGTTAACGTTACCTCTTTTTAACGAACTACATAGAGATGAAAGTCCGTTATATCGAGAGTCCGTTAGATGTCAACCCTCTCCATCCCACGTATAATATGGAGAGAGAAGTCCGTTATTAGGAAGATTAGGTTAGGTTAGGTTAGGTTAGGTTACTCGTAAGGACCAATAACATACACACACAAAGGGCGGAGTTTTAGTTGAAAAATAACCCAGCCTGGTGAGGTAGAGTAGAGTAGAGTAGAGTAGAGTAGAGCCTCAGTTTTAGGGAGCATTAAATGTTACAAGGTTAGAGCCTCCCGTGGGTGTGATAATTCTGAAATTACTGTTGAGAGTGAAAGTGATGTTGTGTGTGTGTGTGTGTGTGTGTGTGTGTGTGTGTGTGTGTGTGTGTGTGTATGTAGTTGTGTGTGTGTGGGGTATGTATGAGTGTATGTATGTGTGGTGGTGATGACGGTGGGGTTGAGGTGGGGTATTTAGGTGCCAGGCTGTCCCACGGCACCTAGAGGAGGCACTACAGCTGTAATTATTATGTGTAGCTGTTGGCAGGCGAAGTTGTCGGCCCACCACCAGGAAGCTGTCGGCCTACCCACCAGGAAGTTGTCGGCCCACCCACCAGGAAGCTGTCGGCCCACCCACCAGAGCGTTGGGTTTTTCCGGCCTACCCACCAGGAAAGTTGTCGGCCCACCCACCAGGAAGCTGTCGGCCCACCCATTAGAAGTTGTCGCCTACCCAATTGCACAGAAGGTCGGCCCACCCACCAGGTGCCGTCGGCCTACCCATCAGGAAGTTGTCGGTGGTTCACTCCACCAAGTTGTCGGTTCACCCAATTGCGAGTTATCGGCCCACCCACCAGGAAGTTGTCGGCTCACCCACCAGGAAGCGTTGTCGGCCCACTCCACCAGGAAGGTTTGCCCACCCAATTGCAGGAAGTTACCGGCCCACCCACCAGGAAGTTACTGCCCACCCACCAGGAAGTTATCGGCCCACCCACCAGGAAGTTATCGGCCCACCCACCAGGAAGTTATCGGCCCACCCACTAGGCAGCTTCCCCGCTCACCTCCCCCGACAATAAGTCACATGAAGAATGTCGTGATCTAGACCCGATTATTTCCGATCTTCACGCCCACACACCCTCACGCCCACACACCCCCACTATTCGAGCCTCACCTGCCTATGTAAAGGTTGACATATTGCGACAGTTAATAAGAAGGGTTAGGTTAAGTTAGGTTCGGTTAGGTTAGGTTAGGTTAGGTTAGGCTAGGCTAGGTTAGGTATGGTTAGAATAGGTTAGGCTTGGTTAGGTATGGTTAGATTAGGTTAGGTATGGTTAGATTAGGTCAGGTCAGGTCAAGTACATATACGTTAACACAGATATAAGTCTCATTTTTAAGATTTTAGAAGAAGTTTACAAGAGTTTAGTATTTGGTAAATATTTTCAGCCAATTCCTCCCAACTACCATAACGCGACAATATAAACGATACCATGGTAAGCAACACCGTGGGGGACTCGCAGGCAATATTCTACCTACCCAGCCCGAATTTCATGAATAACATTTATTGATAGTCGATAAATCGTAACAAAGTTTATTGGTACGTAAATCAATGCGCTTTTATCATTGCCTCTCGCCGCCGGTCGACTCGTAGCGGCCGAACACTTTAATATTACGTGTGTGTGTGTGTGTGTGTGTGTGTGTGTGTGTGTGTGTGTGTGTGTGTGTGTGTGTGTGTGTGTGTAAGCCAGGGATGGATCACTGGCAGAGGGATATTGGCCTCTTTGGTCGGGGTACATAAGGCTATTTAAACTATAGGCCTGGTTCTTGTGCCTTCAGCGACCCCCTCGTAAATATTTCTGTCATTCTCCTAACTTAAGAAAAATTCATTACATGTTAGTTATATTTTAACATAGAAGAATTATTATTATTATTATTATTATTACTATTATTACTATTATTATTATTACTATTATTACTATTATTATTATTATTATTATTATTATTATTATTATTATTATTATTATTATTATTATTATTATTATTATTATTATTATTATTATTATTATTAATTATTATTATTATTATTATTATTATTATTATTATTATTATTATTATTATTATTATTATTATTATTATTATTATTATTATTATTATTATTATTATTATTATTATTATTATTATTATTATTATTATTATTATTATTATTATTATTATTATTATTATTATTATTATTATTATTATTATTATTATTATTATTATTATTATTATTATTATTATTATTATTATTTTATTTATTTATTTTTTTTTACTTATGGTTGTTAATAAATTGAATGCGTGTTAAAGATAAACGTTGTGTTATGATGGATAAATTGATTAAATAACACACGCGGGTCAAACCTCAATAGCTGACCTGGGAAAAGACAAATTTGTTTATGTTACAGGTATGGCTTTATTGGTTAGGTTACAGGTGTGGTTATATTGGTTAGGTTACAGGTGTGGCCATATTGGTTAGGTTACAAGTGTGGCCATATTGGTTAGGTTACAGGTGTGGCTTTATTGGTTAGGTTACAGGTGTGGCTATATTGGTTAAGGATGGGGAAGGGTAGGGGTGGTGTGAAGGGATGGGGGAGGGAGGGGTGTGGAAGGGGTGGGATAACTAGGGGAAGGGGTTGGTTAAGTATGGGTGGGGGGGGTAGAGGTAGGTGGGGGGTAGGGATAGGTGGGGGGTAGATAGGGGGAATATATTGAACACATACGCATCATCGACGACCACGTAAACAGCGGTATCACCATCGATCATACCCAGCACAAGACGCTGATAGCCTGCAGTAGCCAGATACTAGCCTTAGGTAAACACATCCTGACGCTCCCTATGTATCAAGCGATGAGAGGAGGGTGAGAAGGGGGGAGGGGGAGGGGGACCCGGTTCTAATAGGGCCGTTAGTAGCTGCAATGGGCTCCCCCAATCCCTATAAAATATCCCACTCTTAATGGTTAAGTTTGGTGTTGGGGTCTATTAAAACAAGGGGGGCCCCATTGGATCTGCCACCGAGGAGCTCTAGGTAAGCCATTCGTCTCAGGTATCGACAACCACTGATCAACAAGGTGACGATTGAACGAAATTAATCGCCGGAATTAATCTAATCCGATGCCCCTTTGAGGATGTCAGGTACAGACGGCTGATACAAGTAACTCATTCAGGTATAAGTGAAACGGATACACAGGTACAGTTTATTCCTTATGTTTATTCCTTCCGGTGTTTCCCTCTTCTCTTTCTTTCCTTTCCTCTAAATCCTTCTGTCTTTAATTTATCTCGTTCCACTGTCTCCTTTTTTCTCTTTTCCTTTTTCCCTTCTTCCTCTCTGTTTTTCGTTCTCTTTTTCTCTCTATTTTCCCTCCCCCTCTCTCTGTTTCTCTCTCTTTCCCCTCTTCCACTCTCATTTTTGTATCTTTCTCTCTTTCCCCTTTACATTGTCTCTTTTACTACCTCTCTTTCCCATCTACCTCTCTCCGTTTCTTCTCTCTCTCCCTCTCTCTCCTCCCTCATTCGTCTCTGCCCCACTCACCATTTTCAAGGTGCTTAACTGAGGTCGCCTGTCGTTTGTCATGTAGGAAATTTACCTTCACGTTTGCATATGAGAGATGGCAAGAAGCGCTATGTCCCGGCTGACGAGGAGCCTACAGGTCTTTCAAGAGTGGGTTGGGTATGGGTTGGGTTGGGTTAGGTATGGGTTGGGTTGGGTATGAGTTGGGTTGGGTTGGGTTGGGTTGGGTATGGG